ATGAAAAACCAGGACCAGGATTTTTAGATAAAAATCAAGTGTATTACCTGTATCTCAAAATCAGTTGTCGATCGACACTGTCCATGTTGTAAGAATACCAAACCGAGTACAAAACTTCCTTAATCGGTTTGACCTTAACACCAATCTAGAACAAAACAAATATTTTGTAAACCAAATAAAATTTAACAATTTCCCCATCCTTACTCACACTCAGAACAACTTCCGAATACAACCGTCCAGAGCTTGTAACAGTCAAATCGTGTCCATTCTCGAATCTTTCACTTCTAAATCTGGATCCTTCAGCAATCAGGCTGGTTTTTTCAATCCTGGTGCCAGATCTTGTTTGAATCCTGGTGGCGTAAAAGTATTTTTTGTTGCGGTCCTGGTATTTTAGGAAAACTGGCAGGTTTATGTAGTCACAACCATCTAGACAAGTGAGTTCCAAGTCCAGGTTTCGGACGTATTTTGGGAGGATTATAATTCGAGTATTTTCTGCAATAAAAAAGCAATTATATAATCATGTTATTAACTTACCTTAGGGTAGTTATAGTAATGGGCCAAAAATCGAAAATGAAAATTTTTTAATTTCTCGACGTTTTGAAGGTTTCTGAACATTTTGGCATACCTCAGAAGAATCGATGTGTGTGTGTGTGAGTTTTGTATGTCCGCATATTTTGTACACGTTTTCGGGCGCACGGATCAACCGATTTGAATGGTCTAAAAAGCATTCGATCCCGATTGATAGAAAATGTGCTGATTAGTTTTTAGCAAAGGCAGGTCCAGCCGTTACGGAGATTTGGGGCAAAGAGTGCAGAAAATACAAATTGAGTTTTGTGAGAGAACGGAGTATCGGTCTAAAAAACATTCAATTTGTAATGACTGGGAGAAGAGGTGATTAGTTTTTGGCAAAGACAGGTCCCGCCATTTCGAAGATACGGAGATAGATGTGCAAAAAATTGCAGTTTTGAGTGAACTAAGCGTCCGATTTGAATGATCTAAAAAACTTTCTGCTCGTATTGACAAAACAATTGCTTTTGAGGATAATAAATTATTACATCTGTTTTATTTCCATAAAATATTTTTGTAATTTTAGATTAAAAATCCAAAAAAATTACCCAGGCTAAGCGCCACTCTGGTACAAATGTTTACCCAAGTGCGTTTAGACTGTTCATGTACTTTTCCAATTTTGTGAGAAAACTATTGAAAATGTGAAAATGCCGCCAAGCTAAGCACAGTATAAGTGAAAAAGTCGCACAGAATTATTTGCAAATGCGTTTAGACTGTGACTATGCGGGAGCACTTTTTCAATTTTGTGTAAATTGGGCAACTATTTTTTTCTGAAATTGAATTCGAAATGAAATGGCGATTGTTAATGTTCTGGAGATAAATTGATTTATGATTGATGACATTTGATTTGCTCACAATCAGATATAACAAGATAGCAAAAATAATGAAAGTTACAGTATTTGTAATAATATATTTAAAAACATTTAAATTTCTCGAATATTTCTTGCCATACACCACTAGTTACGTAATAAATTTATAACTTACCGTTTCTCATTGCTCTGGAATATCTTTAGTAACATTATGGCATGTAGAACCATCTCCATCGCAAACTCCGCAAATGTCTCTTTTCTTCCAGAATTTGCAATTCCATCGCATCCAAACGTGCGACACCTTCCCTTGAAAAAATACCAATTTAATATAAAGATAAGAAAAATTTAAATCCATGTTAAGGACCACCTTATACAAATAAAACAGTCGTTACCTGAATACACAAATCATCTTCTTCAGAGTACGAGCAAGGAGTACCATCCAGAACACTTATTCCAAATTGTAAACCTCACCAGTTTGATCGTTTATGCAAAACAGTAAACACTTTAGATGATCTAAAAAATTACACGAAACCGATAACAAGTAAAAAATACTTTTATTTTTCTAATTGCAACCCAATGGTTTACTGATAATATATACCTTCCTCTGGTTCAAAAGGAAGCCACCGGGCAGTCGTATTTTCTCCTGCTGTTTTTGCACATTAGAACATTGTTCGAGTCTTTTGTCCTTAGAATTTTTAGCATTTACGATTCTGGACACTGATCCAAGTAACATTTCTGGAATTCCTGACCTTCGCCTATGCAATTCCTACCACCATTTGAGGGACTAGAATTACAAATAAAACAATATCTAGTGGTGTATGGCATCGTGCCTTAAGGCAAATTGCTGGAACTTTCCGTACCGTAATGAAATATTCTAGAAATTTCATATGTTTTCAAATATATTATTACAACTTTCATTATTTTTGCTATCTTATTTTATCTGAGCAAATCAAATGTAAATCATAAATCAATTCAGTTTAATCTCCAGAACATTAACAATCGTCTTTTCATTTAGAATTCAATTTCAGAAAAATAGTTGCCTTACACAAAATTGAAAAAGGGCTCCCGTATAGTCACAGTCTAAACACATTTGCAAATAATTCTGTGCGACATTTTCACCTATACTGTGCTTAGCTTGGGGCATTTTCACATGTTTCAATTTTTTCACAGAATTGGAAAAGAAATCTAAACGCACTTGGGTAAACGTTTGTACCAGAGTGGCGCTTAGACTATGTTAGCCTGGGTAATTTTTTAAATTTTAATCAAAAATTACAAAAATATGTATGGAAAATAAAAAAAAAGTGTAATAAATTTTTATCCTCAAAAGCAATTGTTTTGTCAATACCAGCGGAAAGTTTTTTAGATCCTTCAAATCGGACGCTCAGTTCACTCAAAAACTGCATTTTCTGCACATTTAGCTCTGTATCTCCGAAGCCGATGGATCTGCCTTTGCCAAA